AGTACAACTCATATAATAAAAGTGTAGATCCCTAGATCTGGGCAAGGTCCGGAACATGTCCAAAATTGCAAAAATATTAAAAAAATTTAAAATAATGCCAATTTTATCTGAGTTTTTTTATTTATATCTTGGAACCTATGCATTTTGGAAGAATATTGAAAAGGAAAAATAGTTATAGAATTGAATTTTGCACAATATACTGTAAGTTAAAAATGTTCAAATTTATTACCGATGTTGCAAAGTAGCAATAATTAATGAAAAAAGGCAAAATAATCAAGATTTTTGGATAATTTTTTAAAAATATTTTAATAGCTCCGAGGGCATCCTAGTTTTAGTGAAAAAAACTTTAGAGTATAATAAAATAACACACCAAATTTCATTAAAATCGGTTGGATAGTTTTCGCAAAATAATTTTTTGAAAAAAAAATTAGAAAAAAATTTCCGAATTTTCAAAATGATATAGCGATATTTGAAAATTGTTTCACATAGAAAAGACCGCTCAACCTTTCAAATGGCTTTTGAAAAATTAAAATCGGTTGATTAGGACGGCCACAGTAAATTTTTAAAGTTAACACTTTTTTTATTTTTAAACAATTAGATTATATTTATCAATTTGTAATTTAGTTTTTTTCAAAAATTATAATTTTATAGTACTATTTTTTCTTAATTTTATTTGTATTTAACAAAAAAAAATTATTTCCAAATAAAAAAATTTTGTTTTTAAATTATTTAAATAATTGTAATAATTATAACTAAATACATTCATATTCAGTGTTGAAATATATACGTAAACAAATTTTTTCATTGAAAAAATGCAATAGCATAGGATAAAATATGCAGTATATTTAATACATAAATAATAAACTTTGTTTATAACAAAATATGAGCGAATTAGACAGTTGGCATTACGATACATATTCGGATTCTTTGGCTCGCGAGACATCGGATTAAAAAAAAAATCGAAATTGGTCCATTAGAAGCCGAGATATTGCAATTTTTTTCGTACCTTCGCATTTTAAACCTCCAAATTCAGTCTCGGAGCGAAAGCCCTCTCCCCAACTTTTCGCGTTTTGAGTCACTTTTTGCGCGTGCGAGCGACAGCATTTCCGTTGGTTTATCTATGTTGCCGATAACTTATAGATATGAAAATTTTTTCCAGCTTCTAACTTGGAAAAACGAAGCCACTGGATCAAAGATTATTGCTAAATTGTTTATAAATTAACAGTAAATGCCGATGAACTTTGACCGCTTATATCTCGAGAACCAATAAACGGAATTTAACTTTTTTTTTAAAAAAGAAGCGCCTTTCCGAGTACTTTAAAATTACAATTTTTGAACTATGTGAAAAATTTTTCAAGTATGTAGATGCTTTATTTGAGTCTGTGCAACATTTTGAATATTCGAAAATTTTTTTCAAAAAATTATTTTGCGAAAACTATAGAACCGATTTTAATGAAATTTGGTGTGTTGTTTTATTATACTCTAAAGTTTTTTTTTACCAAAATTAGAATGCCCTCGGAGCAATTAAAATATTTTAAAAAAATTATTCAAAAAACTTGATTATTTTGCCTTCTTTCATCAATTATTGCTAGTTCGCAACATCGGTAATAAATTTAAAAATTTTTAACTTACAGTATACTATGCAAATTTCAATTTTAAAACTTTTTTTCCTCTTCTATATTCTTCAAAAATGTATAGGTTCCAAGATATAAGTAAAAAACTTAGATAAAATAGGTATTTTTAAAAATTTTTGAAACATTTTTGCCAATTTGAAAATGTTCCAGACCTCGCCCAGATCTAGGAATCTACACTTTTATTATGTGAGTTGTAACGAAGGTAATCCGGCAAAAATTAGCTAGCCCTCTCTTACATCCAAGAAGTAAGATATTTCGACAGATTCGTCCTGGTCTATAGAGGACTTGCAGTATATTAACCATGACCACAGTCCTGACCACCACGAAATGCTCAACTTCCATGTTTGTTCACAACACACACATCTCATACTGCAAGTATCTACAAAATTCCTGTCCAAATTGAAGGACAGCTCCAAAGCACCATTGCATTTCATGCATTCATCCGATTTGATTCATTTGATTGATTTTGATTCGATTGGTGTGTTCAAAGAATAAAGGAAATTGAAAAGACACACAAATTTTACAGACAGCCAATTATAATTTTCTAATTCAGAATTGAATCCCGCCTTTAGCGCCTCGACCATCGAAACTCCTATTACTGCGTTATTATATTTTGGAATGAAACTTTCATGAATGAATGAATAAATACATTTTCAATAAAAATACCGTGTTTATTCAAAATCCACAAACACAAAAGTGTTCATACATTGTGTAGTCAATCAAACAAGTTTAATTCACACGAAAGTTGCTAGTGCACTTTTTAAATAGGAAATGTATTAAATACTACAACACCACTATAGTTTAAAGAATTGTATTATAACTATGAAGTAAGTAGTGATGGTGCTGATGATTGAAAGTAGAGTAGTTTTGTTTATATCGAAGAATCCAGCGGCGGAAAACTGAGGAGGCATGTTTATGACCAGATACTTCAACTTGTCTAATTCTTTTCTTACTTTTGGTTGCCTAATGAAGATTCGTTTAAGATTATGGCAATTTGTTTCCAATTCGTTCGCCTGAGAAATAACAGAGTCACAAGAGAATACTATCAGCGTCGCAAAAACCTGGAAATATATACCAATTGTTTTAATGATATGGAAAAATTAATCTAGTGAACGTGCTTACAATTCTTGTAATCATAAAATATGAATATATATACGGGGTGTCCAGAAACTCTTTCGAGAAACGGTACTCTCAAATCCTGTAGATGGTTTTATGCCGATTTCAGTAAATAATCTGTACAAATGCTTCCTAAGGCGGCAAGAGCCCTTTGAATGTGACGCCTTGCATTTGTTCTGAAAATTAATAGGTGTGTAACATTTTATCTCCTTTAAAAGAAAAGCGTTTTTAAGACATTTGGAAAAAATTGAATAAAAGCGCCATATTCAAAGGGCTCTAGTTTCTTTCGAAAGGTGATTTTCCTCAAGTCAGTATAAAACATTTTGAGATTGTCAAACAATTTAAGGTTGTGGTTAAAGTTTCTGAACACCCTGTATATTATCTCTTTTTTGTTGATCACGATACCTTGAAATTTAGAATTTTTAAAAAAGGGTTATAAATGGGAGTATGTACTACAAGAATAATATAGACCTTGGAAAAATAGAATCCATAGTTAAAAGTAACTTATTTTCAAAAAAAATATTTCGTGTAGGTACCTATTTTGTACAGGTATATTCACATAACATATCTTTTTATATTTTTTGACGTTCTCTCTAGGAAAAAATAATTGACTTTTTCCTTTTTTAAAATATACCTAAAATTAAAATTAGTTTTGACCAATTTCATATCTTCAAATTTAACTAAAAAATAAGACATAATTTAGGCTTTACTTGCGCCAAAGTTACGTCACTTTTACTTCTCTTAATTAAGGGAAAAAAATACGCTAAAGAAAATGTTACTTATATCCTATTTTTTTCATAAGGTATTAGCTAATTAGTGATTAGATAAAGCGGAGGACTAAAAAGTAACAAACGGGGTGTTGTATTTCAAAAAAACACAAGAGCGGTTTATCAGAGATAGCAAGAAAATTTCTTAAAACTTTAAATATACTATTTTTTATCGACAATTAATAACTTACCCCTAATATTATAACAACAATTGAAAATAGGACAAAACTAATATCTTCAAATATAGGTTTTTCCAGAAATATTGTCGTTAAGTGGCTTTCCAAAATTACAATGGTATAAAAATATACCATTAAAAGAGGCCATCCCCATAAGTCGTTAACTGTTTCAATAAGCTGGTGTAGAACGATATACAGGGCCCTAATTTTTTCTACTGTCCTAGGCAAATCACAATTTGAAATTGTGATATGAAATAAAAAGTCGTTGATGTCTTCTAACTTGTTTTTTATGAAAGCTGTCGTAATATATACCATAATTGCTGTTGATAAAAATGTGTAATTAAATATACTAACTGGCAGGAACATTAGAGAAAATCCTGTAGCAATAAAATCATTGACGATCATATAAAATGGGCTTACAAAACCCACAAGAGATAATATTACTGTATATCTAGTATTACGTTTTCTCTGTCCAGTGTATCTACTAAACGTGTTCTCTATAGAGATAATTAAATCGAAGAATTCCTCCCATCTTGTCCTGTTCCAAAAGGCCGAACCTGCTGACAGCACTATAAATAAAACGACACCTCCTGTTTCTTGTAAAATATCTAAAACGATCCTGACACTATGTAAGTGAAATATTTCTTCTCGGAGAAAAAAATTATATACTGTTATGACAATCAATAGAACAACTTGCACTACCGCGTAGCATCTGAATGCTTTCACATATACAGTACGTTTGTCGTGATTGTGCCAAGGTACCATTCCAAAATAACTAGCAAATTTAGTCAGGAGCAATACCAGCTGGAGATTTGTCAAAGTTAATTTAAAATTCATTGCAAGGCAGACTGCAAAGTAGTGATAGGAATGGGGTGATGTACAATGTACATTTATCGATTGCTTTTTTACGTCGGGCTCTGTTCTTATAACATTCTAAATGTGATTACATATTCATCAGAGCAAAAACGTAAAACTGACGTGGCGGTTAAGTCATACAGATTTAGTTTGTCAAGTAGCTTTCTGTTTAATTAATTTTATACAATTTCTTCTTCTTACGTGGAAACCGTTACTTTTTACAAATACTTATATCTATAATATTAATTGTGACACTATAATCCGTGTTTTTATTTTCTTCTGGAAAAAACCACACGTGCCAGTCTACAAGTGTAAAATTCTTCACTAAAAACTGTTATCTTCTAAATCCACAAATCTATCTATAAATTGTGTAGCCAAACATACATACTTAATTTAATCCACATGAAAGTTACCAGATATTTTTTTCTCCTATATTAAATAGTATAATAACACTATAATTTAAAGAATTGTGTTATAATTATGAAATAAGTGGTGACACTGCTGATGACTGACAGTAGAGTGGATCTGTTTATTTCGAAGAATCCAGCGGCGGAAAAGTGAGGAGGCATTTTTATGATTAGGTACATCAATTTATCTAATTCCTCTCTCATTTTTGGTTCCCAAATGAAGGTTCTTTTAAGTTGATGACAATTTGTCTCCAATTTATTCGCCTGTGTGACAACAGAGTCACAAGAGAATGCTACCAGCGTCGCAGAAACCTGAAAATATATATCAATTGAGTTAACTATACGAAAAAAAATTAAAAATTTATTGAACGTGCTGGCGATTATTCTTGTAACCGTAAAATGTGGTCCATATGATAAATTAAAGGGGATTCCTTACATAATTTCATGTATTTTATAAAGAGGTATTCACATGACATTATATTTTTTATATTTTTTACTTTCTGTCTAGGAAAAAACGGTAAACACCAAAGTTTTAGGAAATTCTCGACTACATCCTGTTTTATATATACTGTGAATGTACTCGTTCTATACTTAAAAATTTTAAAGCCACCGAAATATTTTATAAATTTAAAGAAAAAATATTTTTTATGTTAAATCTTTTAAATTTTTCTGTAAAAAATAGATACATTTGTCTCGGATCATATTCCTAGACCACAAAATAAACCGTAGTGATAAATTCCTTTGAGAATGCAAGAAAATTTCCTAAAACTTTATTATTTGAATATTCCTTACCACTAATATAATTACAACTAGGGAGAATAACACAAAAGCAATATCAATAAATATCATTTTTTCCAGAAATATAGTCGTCAAATGGTTTTCCAAAAGTACAATGGTATAGAAATATACGAATAACAGCGGCCATCCCAATAAGTCGTTAACTGTTTCAATAAGTTGGTGTACAGTAATATACAGGGCCGTAATTTTCTTTATTGTTCTAGGCAAATCACAATTTAAAATTGTAATTTGAAATAAAAGTTCGTTGATGTCTTTTAACTTGTTTCTTATGAAAGCTGTCGTAATATATACCATAATTGCTGTTAACAAAAATGTGTAATGAAATACACTAACTGACAGGAATATTAGAGAAAATCCTGCACAGATAAAATCATTGACGATCATATACAAAGGGCTCATAAAACCTATAGCAGATAATATAACGGTATGTCTAGGACAACTTTTTTTCTGTACGGTGTACATACTAAACATGCCTTCCACAGATCCAATTAAATTAAAGAATTTCTCCCATTTGGTCCTGTTCCAAAAGGCTGAACCTACTGACATCACTATAAATAAAGCCAGACCTCCTATTTCTTGTACAACATCAATAACGATCCTGACACTATGAAAATTAAACATTTCTAAACGGAAAAACATATTGTAAACTGTTATGCAAACCAATAGAAGAACTTGTGCTATCGAATAGCATTTGAATGCTTTCACATATACAGTACGTTTGTCCTGATTATGCCAAGGTACCATTCCAAAGAAACTAGCAAATTTAGCTAAGAGAAATACCAGATTGAGATTTGTCAAAGTTAATTTAAAATTCATTTTAATGTAAACTGGGATCAAACACTTTTAGGAATTAGGTGATATACACTATACTACACCTAATGACTGGTTACTTCTGCATTACCTCGGCGGAAATATAAAAATGACGTGGTTAACTAACATAAATTTATTTTGTTAATTACCTTTCTATTATTTTCATTAAGTCTATACAACTTATGAAAGTAATTGTTATTTGTTACAGATACTCATATCTATTAATTGCTATTCTCTAATCAGCTTTTTTATTTCCTTAATGAAAAAAGCCACACGTACCACTGTAATATGCCCTATATTCTTCACTAAAATTAATTGCTTTTTTATTCCATAAATGCTATAAAGAGACAATTTGTAGAGAATGGAAATATGGAGGGTACAAGATTTAAGAAATTAAGGTTTTATGCGTAGGATCGAGTTTTCTCAGTGGATCATTAATAATGAAAACTTGCTTTCATTAATTCTCTGGACCGATGAGGCGACTTTCATCAGAAATGGAGCTCTTAATTTTCACAATACCCGCTAATGACAATCCGAAGGTAGTTCGGCGTAATAATTTCCAACACAGGTTTTTAGTTAATCTGTGGGCGGGGATTATCGGTACCAGATTAAATGGACCTGTTGAAATTCCAAATCGGCTAAATGGTGAAGTTTATGTACATTTTTTACGAAATGAATTGTTTGATTTAATGGAAGATGTACCTCTAAATATTAGAGGAAACATGTACTTTCAGAACGATGGAGCTCCAGCTCACAATAGTAGGAATGTGAAAAACTGGTTCAACGAATATTTTCCAGAAAGGTGGATTGGACCAAGCAGTCCCATTGCCTGGCCACCTCGTTCACCTGACTTTAATCCTCAAGATTATTACTTATGGGGACATTTAAATAGTATCGTTTATAACACCGAAATAGATACCAGAGAAGAATGATTAGAAAAAATAAATTTGGCCTCTAATATGTTAAGGAACAATGAATTTGAAATTCTTCGTGCTTCTCAAGGAATAAGGCGTAGAGCTATGCTGTTCATTCAACAAAATAGCAGTCATTTTGAGCAATTATTGTAACGTGTTTTTTAGTTCTTAATAATTTTTTTATTATCTGATTTATTACAAAACTTCAGTTGACTACTGTGCATATCAGGTTTGTTTCTGCAGTAAATTACTGACAGTCTACAAACGGTTTGTGATTTGAACGATACAATAATGGTTTCTAAATTTGTAGTTTGAAATGAAGAAGAAGATGGACATGAGATATAACTTCTAAATCTAAATAGATATTTTTCTAAAACGAAGCATTTTATTGAAGTAAATCTAGAGTCCCTTTCTTTTTGTAAAAAACCCATTTCTATCATCGTTTGATGTTTACATTTGAAAATATTAGAATTATCATGTTTTAAAGTAAAATAACTCATTTATGTTAATTCACTGCTTACCGAAAATATGTATAGGATTAAACGGAAATTAACTATATTAACTGGTCTATAATGTGACGGAAAATTTTACAATTCTGCCTTGTCGTTCAATTATCTAGCGAATGTCATAACAAATAAATTGTTATTTATTTCAATCCCCTCCTTTAAGAGGGTATATCGCCTCAGGGGAGCAACTTTCATATAATAAATACATTTTTACTTCAATCCTCTTATTTTTGGCTCTACATTCATCGGTACCATTTCTGCTACTTCATTTAAAAACACCATGTATAATTTAAAATAATTAATAATGCCATTTTCCTCTATGTGTAGATATATTTACTTTTGTGTTAAAAGCCTTTTAAATGATAGATTGATAGATAGAAATTCACCATTACAGTTATTGATGTATCAAAACATATCCAAACGTATAATCAGCTAGAAAAAAGCAATAACGTTTGCTCCACCACTGTATAATTTAGTTCATACAATTTTATAATGGATAAAATTGTCTTTGATGGTAATTATTTTTCGAGGCATATATAGACGTCAATGAAATAATTGAATATTAGATAAAAGATGAACCCAAAATAATGATGTTAAAAAAAACAAAAACAGTGTTAAGGGCAAAACTGATATTAAAAATTTACGTCAAATGTATCATAATTTAATTAAATAAATGTAGTTTTTGATAAATTAATTATTTGTTTTCCAATAAATTTCATAAATTATATGATGTATTGGTATTATTTATTATGTATCACCACTTACAATAGTATTAATCTACACTAAACTAAAAATATTCAAAATTGTATGCCTATATATCCACTGCCCCTCATCTCTCGATTTTTCGCCACTACTAGACCTCGTACGCACCTCCAACGCATCTAGAAATTTTGCAAAATAGTGCACCAAAAAATTCAAATTACAATTGTGCCAAAACTAATGGTCCAACAGCGCCTGCTTTGTGCACACTTAAAATACATATAATTCAATACTTTTGTGCACAGGGTCAGTTTTACAACTAAAAAAATGACGGAGCGATGAATTTAAAAAAAAAACACTACATTTTCCGATTTTTCCGGATTTTCTTCGTTTCTAATTATGCGATTGCTTGGTTAGTTTAGATTTTATAAGCAAAAAACTAAAAAAGAATGCGTTTTTTACATAAAAATTAATTTGGTAAATTGGAGTAGAAACATATAAGCATATCTACAGGGTGTTAAAAAAAGAGTGTAAAATAATTAAGGAGGTAATAGTATGAACCAAAATAAACAGAAAAGTCTAAATAAACATGGGTCCGCAAAGTAACGGTTGCGGAGATATGGAATGTTTTATGTTTTTTAGCCCCTTTTTTTATTTTGCAAAAACGTTGTGTATTTTCTTATAATAGTTGGTTGATGTTTAGTGAAATAAACAGTACGTATTTGACAGTTGTTCTCAGTGCACAAGTTTTCTTTCGCTATGGCTGGTTACTCTAACGCAGAATTAACAGACATGCATTTCATGTATGGTCGTGCTAATGGGAACGCCACCGAAGCGCGACGTCTTTATGTTGACGCTTATCCAAATCGCCAGATTCCTTCACAACGCATGTTTGGAAGAATTCACCAAAGATTGCGTGATACCGGTTCCTTGAGCAAACAGTGCCATTTATCCGGAAGACCAAGGTCGGTATCCACTCCTAGAGCAGAAGAAGAAATTCTAGCACTGGTAGAGCAGAATCCAGGTACGAGTGTGCGGAGAATATCAGCCGAGGTAGGAATTAGTGGTCCTCTTGTTTGGAGAATCCTTCACGAGCAACTGCTTTATCCATACCATGTGCAACGAGTACAGGCCTTAAATCCAATAAATGATCATCAAGCACGTTTGGTTTTTTGCCGCTGGTTTCTACGTCATGATGCTGAAGACCCTCGTTTTCTTGCAAACATTCTTTTTACTGATGAGGCCGGGTTCACAAGAAATGGAGTGTTTAATTTTCACAATACGCATATTTGGGCCGACGAAAATCCTCATGCTCTAATAGAATCTGGACATCAGGCACGTTTTTCATTAAACATTTGGATGGGTATTGTAGGTGACAGGTTTCTAGGTCCTGTTGTTTTACCAAACCGATTAACAGGCGCTGCTTACCTCAACTTTCTGCAGAACACACTGTATGAGTTTTTGGAAGACATTCCTTTGAATCAGAGGCAACAAATGTGGTTCCAGCATGATGGTGCTCCAGCTCATTTTTCCATGGCCGTTAGAGAGCATTTACACCAAACTTTTCCACATAGATGGGTAGGAAGGGCCGGACCTGTTTTATGGCCTCCAAGATCGCCTGATCTGAACCCTCTAGATTTCTTTGTTTGGGGATATTTGAAGACATTAGTGTATGGTACTCCTGTAAATAGCCTGGAAGAGCTGCAGCTACGGATTAATCAAAAGTGTCAAGAAATCCAAACCAAGGAGGGTGTTTTCGAAAGAGTTCGAATATCGTTGAGACGAAGATGTCGTGCCTGCTTGGAAATGGACGGAGGGCACTTTGAACATCTTCTGTAACTTTGTTTTTTGTTTGTTAAAAGCTTCCTTTGTCGGTTTATTCCTAATAAAATAAAATGTTTGAAAAACGAATAGTGGTCCATATCTCCGCAACCGTTACTTTGCGGACCCATGTTTATTAAGACTTTTCTGCTTATTTTGGTTCATACTATTACCTCCTGAAATATTTTACACTCTTTTTTTAACACCCTGTTTATAGTACTAGTATTTCTGTCACAAACAAAACCCCTATTGATTGGCATACAAGTTTCCAAACACTTCAAAGTTTCGTATAATTGATAGCCTTCAAAAACACCTTGTATATCTTACTGTAATTATTTTAAAAGGACCTATATATTACTAACATGTATACTCGTAAATTAATTCTTCCATTTACAGCAAGTACGCTTCGTTTTATATAGATAGCTGATACAAGATACTAAATGACATTCGATCTACTTAATGAACTATCGAGTTCAGCAGAACAAATATAGGTATTTAGTAATATATATTGTTGTGGTAAAGACGCAGTTACAAGTGAAATATTATATGATGGCACATTTTAAGTTCGTACAATTCATAGCTAAGTTAGCCAACGTTTTTGGCTTAATGCCTATTTACGATTACAACATACAGAGATTGATTCGTCAAAGGTTGTTTAAGATCTATGGTTTGCTTTTAACTATAATATTGACAGCAGAAGGAATAACTGCTCTCCTTAATCATCATCAAGATTTAGTGCTATTTAAATCTGACATAACGGAACCATTGTTTTCACTGGTAGATGCTATAGGATTGATTTTTTTTGTTATAACGACCCTGGGAACCGTATTTTGGAACATGGAATCATGGGAACGAATATTGAAATTATTGTTTCATCTAGACTGTCAACCCGCAAGAAAACATTTCCATGTAGTCCCCTTCGCTATTAATGCCATTGGAAGCATCATTTCTTTAACTATGGCAGTCTATGCTTGTATACGTTGGGGTCTAAAATCTGAATACTATCTCACTTTCCTGATATTATATTACGACAGGGTAATTTCGACAAGTTTAATGTACAACATAGTTGATTTACTTAGAAATAAATACAAACAAATCAATAAAATCCTTGTTGACATTAACAGAAGCACTGTGATTAAGAAGAACACCTTTAATAGAATTCGTGACGTTAAAAGGGAATACACTGAGACAGTAATGGTAGTGGAAATTTGGAATAAGATTTTCGGTTGGCCTTTGTTATTGATCTTCGTCGAGATACTTGCACGCGTTCTGCTCTCTTTGGCTGCACTCACCGAACATGGTATAGATGGTCTGATGGGTAGCAGGAACCATGTAAAGGGGGAAATCATTTTGTTAAATTTTTGTCTCGTAATAATTTCACTGGTAAGTACCTCCTGTGTTCGTACCATATTTTCGCTCTTAGATGCAAATAGAGAAATTCTTATCTTGGTAAAGGGCGAGTCGGGAGGATGGCACCAATCTCCAGGAATAATCGTCAGGTCAAAATAATAATAAAATGTAAATGTTATGCGATTTTCATTTGTTTTAAAAAAAGTTAAATGTAATTACAAATTTTTAAAATTTGAATATTGGTGTTTGGTGCGATTCTTCCTACATCACCCTGTATAATACGCATCTACAAGGTGTTGCACCTAAGAGGGATTCTTCTGTACCTCTGTAACTGTAAAATTTATAAAAAAATGGTTTCAATAAAAGTTGTCTGAAATCATGTGGGCGGGGCAATGTAAAGAAAATATTTTTTAGGTTTACAGGGTGTTCCATTTCACGTGAACGATACATAACTTTGTTATTTTAAATGGAACATCCTGTATATTATTGCGTTTTTGAATTCCTTGGTTAATATTAGGTAGAGTTTATTAAATGTACATGGTGTTTAAAACTTACCGTTTTCGAGAAAATCAGTTGTTTTTGTATTGATAAAAATCACGATTTCAACTCCCTAAATGAGGCTAGATAGCGTCTAAATCGTAGGAGTTAGTAACCTGCAGTTGTCATAGTTGGTTTTGATATAAATTACTCTATCTTCTGTGAGCAAAACGTGTACGTTATTCAGACTCGGGAATAATGAGACCTACATTTAATAATCTTACGAGTAAAAAAACTTTTTTTTTCAAATGGATTTTAGGTGGACCACCCTGTATATTCTAAGCCTTGGAAAAGTGGTTGGATTCAAATATGAATTAACAAATACACTTTTCTATTAAAAAAATCATGGGTTAGACAGGAAATATTGAACAATCCGTACAATGGCATACCCTGTAATAAAAAACTTGTTGCATTTATTTCAGTTTGGACCCGTTTCCATAGTTTTTTGCTGCGAGGCAACCTCCCACGAGGCGGTTAAGCTGTTAAAAGTTTGTTACAACCTACAAGAAGCCTATTCGTTGCTTCCCAAGGAAAGGGATGAACTGAACAGGTTACAGGACCTAATTCAAAACAAGAATCCCACTTTCATGGCAGCAAATTTTTTTGAAATAAAACGGTCTTTGCTACTTTCACTTATCAGCACTACCACCACCTATATGATCGTTATATTACAATTTAATTTTAAGTAATTGTGTAGCGTTGGGGTTGAAAATTTTTAAATACACCTACACCAATTTGAATTTTATTATTTAAGTGCCCGTAAGTAAACAATGAAATATAAAACTAGTTTAATAGGTGTAGTTTCTGTTTGTCTCGTCTCTATGGAAATTACTTTTATTCAAGGGGAGTTTTTAGTAACCTTTTCATTTTATCCACAGTAAAGTTTGCATTTAGAAAAAATACTTTATAGTTATTATTTTTATGAAAATACACGCTGTCAGCATTTGACTGATGTTGCCAGTAATATTTTATGTGGGTAAATGTTTACTTTCCAAAAGAGCATTGAAAATACAGCAAATAATGGATAATAAATACATATATTTTTTCTTCACACAAATAATACCTACTTGTTATGTACTGAGGATTAGTGTGTTGTGTTTCAATTAAGCAAAATGTACACGTTCTATATGTAATGCAAATAAACATAATAATTAAAAATAAAAATATTGATATTTAGATATTTCCCTCCTTGTTTACGTGGAAGAGAGTTGGATAACACATATTGTTAAATTATAAATATAAATTAATTATAAATTAACAACGACACCAAAATAACTCCGATCGGACCACACCTGCGCCCAGCGGCTGCGATCGAACTTTTGTTGCACAATGAAAAGGCGGATTATTTTCTTACGATTACAATGATGTAAAGTTTGATGGGCCTGTCTCTAAGAGTAAGGAAGATATTGTCATGTTTACCTTTAAAATAGTGAAAAAAAATTAGTAACTAAAGTATTATTTCCTTGGCTGCTACGAGGATAAAAAAACGACAAAATATCCAAGTTTGACATTTATTGAGCAAAATATAACACAAAATCCACACAACGAGCCATAGGGAAATCTGATTATTTTCTAGGGAGTAGAGTGCATTAAACTTGCAATTTGGTGAGATTGATAAACTAAAATTTTACAATTTTGATGATAATAGCGTGTCTTATCTATCGAATAGAACTCGGTAGGTTTTTTTATAGTTCTTGCTCCTCACACCTAACAGAAATAGTTCATGGAGTTCCCCAAAGCTCAGTATTGGGCCCTATTCTATTTCTTATTTATATCAATGATTTCCCAAATTGTGATATAACTTCTGATTTTATTTTATTTGCCGATGATACTACCGCTTTAAAGTCAAATAATAACTGAATTAAACTGACAGAGGATCAAGTGGAACGCTGCCGCTGATAAAGAACTGGTTTGTTGCTAACAGATTGAACTTAAATGTCGACAAAACTCAATCTTTGCTTTTTACGCTTCGCCATATCAATACTTGTACTAACTCAAATAGCATTAAATTTCTTGGAGTTCACCTTGACACTAAATTGAGTTGGGAAGAACATGTCAATGATTTATCCGCACGATTGTCTAAGAATACTTTCTTACTGCGTAATTTGGATCGTGTGGTATCTAACTCATGTCTGCATATTATGGTACTTTCATGCCACCATGACTTATGCAATTTTGAACTGGGGTCATTCGTCTCGCAGTGGTAAAATTTTTGGTTTATAACGTAAATGTGTTAGAATTGTGGCTGGAATAAAATACAGAGATGATTGTCGGGAGCACTTCAAACTGCTAAATATTCTTACAATGCCGTCAGTTTGAATTATATAAAAAATAATCAAAATGGATTTGTTCGACAAGAAAATTTTCATTTCCACCATACAAGAGAATGACACAATATTAGGCCAAAATTTCATAGATTAGCGAAATCCAGAAATGGCACAAATTATTTTGGCATTAGATTCTTCAATAGACTTCCATCTGAGATTCGATCACTAAATTCAGACTGTTTTAAGGCCAGAATTAGAAAATATCTTAAGAGAAAAGCGTTTTACAATTTTGATGAGTTCTTTGCTGACCTGTTTTTATATACAGGGTCGGAATGTCCCCATGGTTCATCGGCCGTTAGGTGAGAGCGATAAAGTAAGTCAGAGAAATCCGTGCGATAGAGAGAGATGGCTAGAATGAAGGCGTCTAATAGTCACCGCCCATTTCGCCCTTCCACAAATAAGAAGTGGATCTTATTTGTAATAAAAAATAAATTAGTCATATGGATAAAGCGGAATCAGATTTAATTCTATGGAACACAGTTTATTACATTTCACATGAAAAAATTACACACTTAACAATATTAGTAAATAAATAAAGGTACATAGTACAGAATCTTCATAAATAATTAAAAGCCATGTGACCGCCGTATGGCTCACGCAACCAACATTGCACGATTGGCATCGTCAACTAAAAATTCCTAAAAGTTATGCGAAGGAAATAAAATTACTATTCCAAACTGGTCACGTAGCTTGTAATAATTTATTCAGGCTATATATTATATCCCAAACTAACACTATAAACATTAAAGGTTCAAAATACATATACGCTTCTCCCAATAATTATTTGCTACGGAACATATTACTAAATATTATTCTGTTGTGAATTACAGTTTCGCAAAGGAAAACCACGAACGAAATAGTATTAAAAAACAAGAAAGCCTTACAAATGGGCAATAAGTGTTTTAGCCTTATACTGAAATCGCTAAAATCATCAACGCCTGGATCGCTCAACTGATGTTTGCTTTTCATAATGTCATTCTGCCATTTTAAGATGAACCCTGCACCTAAAATTCGATTCAGTACCCTATTAAACTCAGCGTAATGAGGGAAACCTTTCCTCATTATCATATTGACTGGGAAAACGCCAAAGTCTTTTTCAATGCAGTGGACATTGTATTTCTTTTGTAAAAGAGCGAATTGCATACGAAACTTGGGCGAGCAGTAGGCGTGCCTTTTTGAGGCTGCTATTTTTTCTAGACACCAGGAACTGTTGAAACAATCATGCCATCTTTGTTTAATAAGAGTCACAGGAACATCTTCCAAAGTTTCGCTGTCGTTGTAAATATAAATTGAGACTGGAGGCACCAAAAGAGTTGTTAAGTTATCGTTGTAGATATCCCTTAAAGAGCTATATTTCTGTACGTATCGAGGGCTCGAAACAATGCTTGTAAGGTAGCTGGTATATAGTATCATTACTTCGTACTCAAATATGATGAATAAAGCCATTATGTACCGAACTTTAAAAGTTTTAGGCAAAGAATGCAGTATGACACCAAGCAGTACCACAAAGTTATAGAGAAATACAGTCGATAATTCTTTGTAACATTTACTTTCGTCCTTGCTGTAACGACCGAAAACCCAAGTGCTGATGGAGACTAAGAAATACACGAAAAAAATCAGAGTCCACGTTTCAAACGAAAATATGTTAATCATATTTGGTGACCTTTTTATAACGGGTATGCTGTACGTGCACCATAACAGAGATTCATAGGTGTATTCGTTACTGAGATCGAAATGTTTGTATCTTTGCAACGTTTTGGTGTAACCACCCACCAAAATATCAACCGAGTTATTAAGGAGCAGTATCATGTCTCCAACTGCTGTTCCGTTTTCGTAAATATCTCCCCAATACGACTTGGTCTCTTTATATTGCATGTTAAAGTTGAAATGGGCCGCTATTAAATTCAACAGGTTAATGTCAGTCCCCTGGCTGAGGTAGTAGTTGGATGGCTGGAAACCCATCTCCGCATTCATGACATAAGGTGGATTTTTCTGGTAAATAACACTTACGTTGCAAAAATTAGCACATTTTCGCAAGGATCTCGAAACGGTATTGTTCTTGCGAAATCTTCCAAAGGAACAGAGGTTTTTTTGACGAGAAGCTGATTCGTAAAGAGACCAAGAGTGCATTTTGTATTTTACAGAACTTTCTTTATCTGCAAGTAAAATCATCCCTCTTACTACATTTCCTTTTCCAAATATTTCAAGGATTTTACCCGTGAAATTTCGTGGATTTGAAAAAATTGACGCTGACGTTATTAGGAGATTCGCTCGACGATTTGAGAGATCTTTCAGAATCCGAAAAATCAGAGAGATTTCCGTTTGATTCGTTACATGTACTATGTAACTGCCACCATCAGCAACTCTTACTGACGAAGAATTCTTCTTATATTGTTTTATTACCAGTGATTGCAAATTTTTCATTTCAAGCATCTTAATCATGGTCTCTTTGAGCGCTAAATCTAACGGTGAGTGGTTACTGTAGAGACTGTTAATGGTCACAACATCATTAAAGTAGAGTCTACTTACTTGTGTTACGCATTGACTTAAAGAAACAACGGATCTTATATTTTTTTGGAATGCGGGTTCAAGTTTCATCTTACCAGAGATGGCTTGATTAAAGAGGGCAAGTGTCAGAAAAAACAGTAGTTTGAGATGTTTTCTAAGGTACATTTTGCAATAATTCTGTTTTACGACTGATAAGTGAGACGTTGAATTTATCGAAGTAATGTGGAGGAAAAAATAAATTTCTTAATGCTGAATTATTTATTGAATAGAATATTTTCTTTGTGACAAATAATTCTTGACAAAGAAATGGGTAGGTTGTGCTGTATACGGAATATATTATCGGTTATTTCTTTTGAGGGAGCTCTATAACTATGAATCTATGTGCTTATAAATTATAATCGCATTATAACGTCGATACTATCATTTTTGTCTGCGATATTTTAACGCATTCGATGTTATTCTAAACCAAATTTTATCTGACCAAACTAGTGAATCAGAAATTGAGATAAATCAACTACATTTAGAACAAGAGCATATTTAATATTTTAATTTTATTTCAAGTACAAAATATTTAGACAATTGAAATAACGACACATTACATTATTAAGCAAATTCAAGAAATATTTTCTAAAAAACCTTATCAAATGAATTATTGAATTAGCATAGTATTGCATGATAACCAAAACTGTACACACAAAACGCATCAGCAAATATAATGATTTATGTCTGCAACTTAACAATTATGCTTATGATGTGCATCATCATAGCACTTCGTCGTTGTTCGTAGCTCAGAGGGTAAATTTAGTTATTTAGTCATCACATGTTCTCAAGCATTATTATAAAGTTAAAATTATTTTCTACGAGTGTATATTTAGGCTATTTATTATATAAAAAACAGGGTTAAAAGGAACTATGTATGACGTTCAAGCAATTTTATTGCATGAATTGTTCAAAGTATCATTTTAGATGAAAAAGCCGCGGAGTGCTATTAAATTAGAGGGTGGAAATTGGAGATAGGGGTGAAAATACACCCCTTACAGTTTTTTAATTGTAGCTCGAAACGAAGCAAAATTTCACTATGTTGACAGGAAAAATTTTATAGAGAATTGAATTTCCCATCGAAATGGCTTATTTAAAAAATTTAGAAGAAAAAATTTATGCAAAAAATCGTTAATAAACAATTAGAAAAAAAAGCGATTTTTTTATTTTTTTTTACTTTCTTGCCTCTAGTTTTTTTTTTCAGTTAAAATAGGTATAGGCATTGCTTCATAGAAAAAAAGTAGATAAAATTTTATTTAAAATAAAAGGTTGTAAAGTATTTTTGGATGAAAATTGACTTGGATATATGGCCGCTCCAACTTACAATTAGCCAATTTTTCGATTTTCTTCGCGTTTACCCTTATACGTTTTAATTCTCATTTTTCCAAAACAGGAAGGAAATAAGACTTTCAAAGATATTCATCACATGACTTGTTCGAAGGGTTATTAAAAATGAAAAACTGCTTGGTGCCATTAAATTAGAGGATTAAAATTGAAGATAGGAGTGAAAATGCACTTTTACAGTTTTTTAAATATAGCACGAAAACGAAGTATTGTTCGTAGGAAAAATTTTATAGATAATTGAATTTCCCATCAAAATGGCTTATTTAAAAAATTAAAAAATAAATTTTATGCAAACAATCGTTAATAAACAATTTTAAGAAAAGTATAAAATAAGATTTTTTGATTTTTTTTTTACTTTTTTAACTGTAAGTTGTAAAATCTTTATTTATTATTAACAAATAAAACTTTTGAAATAATTTTTTATTAAATAAAGAACCAATTTGTTGTAAAAATAATAAGAA